TGATAGGGAGAAACATATTTGGGGAAGGGTTTCACGGCTTCGTTGACGAAGGCAGGTATAAGAGAGCTCGCGCGGAAGAAACGGGGCTCTCGTGTACTCACCCCTCTGTTGTGTTAAGTGATTATATGTGAATTTAAAACCAGTGTTCTACCCTGTGTTACTTGTGTGAATTTCTGAAAACCTCTAGTCTACCCTGTGTGATTTGTACTGATTTTGTAAGTATTCAATAGTGAAACGGCAGTTTGTAATCCACATCAGTCTACTCTCATTTTATTATCACATTCGTAAGTTTAGTCAAGCAATTACACGGCGCATACATAGCACGCAAGCTATAGCGCACAGTCGTCTGGCAGCAGAATTACCCAGCGACTACATTATAATTTCCATAAATCCATCCATAATTCCATTGTCCATGATTGCATTTTGCCGTGATTGTAATAAGTATTAAATTGAGGCTGTGTCATTATATGCACAATGCCTAATCTTATGTGTAGTGCTGAGTGCGCATTGCTAGGTATAGCGAGTAAAAAGAAATTGTAAATCTTGAATAATGGGTAATGCCCGCACGTCTGTTAGTTAAGGTCTAATTTACTTAAGGGTTCTTAGGTAATGTCGATTGAATAGCTTAATAATTACGTTGTATCATGTTTACCAGACATCAGCCCTTCATGGTGCAGCCCTGGTTAGGAGCTATGTTAGTTGAGTGGCTGAGGAATGCGGCACAGTATACAGCATTCGTTTTTTTATGTTAGTGTTTTAGGACGACACTTGTTGACATCAAGTCAAGCAAGTTATTTTGCGGGGGGAGTGATGTAACAGTGCGGTGCGTAGAGCTTGTAATTAGAAAAAGTATTGTATAGGAATTATACGTGATTTTAGTGTGCGTAGCCATCAGGCTAGCAAGGCACGCCGTAAAATGTGGGAACAACATGTTTACACCGCGTTGGTGCACTCGTGAATATTAAGTAGGTAGACTATACTAGGCTATGTGTGAAAGCTTGGAATATGGCTTTGTGAATTTGGTAAGCCACAGATGACTGACGTATTTAGCTGCCAACCGGATGTTATGGCCGGATGCGCCAGCGTAGATTGTGAGTGAAAACGGACGTTGCGAGATGGATAATAATGCCTATTAGTCGATGGATGTGACTTGTAGAAGATGTTGACGTGTGCCGGTTAGGGCCTGGAAGGCCAGCAGTTTTAGAGCATTTGTAGTTAGGTGGTGACCTCTGGTGTATAAATTAAAGTGTAAACGTATAAAGTTTTAGGCACCGCGCTGCCGAGTGGCGGCCCCTGCTGGAGGCGCGTGGAGTTTTTAGAGGCATCGTAGCCAGTGGTGCCTCTAGGATGACGTCACATTGCACGAGGGTATATATAACGCTGCGCACTCCGAAATGATCAGTTCTTGGTTTTTAGTTGTGACACGTGCACGTGTAGCTATTCTAGTAGTGGCGACTTGACAGATTTGACAAGACGTTATACGTATGAATGCGATGTACGTTGACGGGTAGTTTTTAGCAGTGTTCAGTTTGCAGACTTTATGCACTTTTGTATGTGTGCATATATAAGTAGAGTGTGAATATATAATGAAGTGTTCATACGTGAAAAAACCTCTAGTGTGTTAACACCGGCTTTGGACTCCGACAATGTTTTTGCTCTGTACACTGACTCTTCAAGTAGCTGTTCAGCTAGCGCGAAACGAATTGTCGGGTTACGAAAAACACAACGCAAGGAACAATAATCAACGCAAAGCTTAGAACTCTAACGCTCACTCCATACATTTGGAGCGGCGACATCAAGAACCGCATTCAACTATACGATTCGACCCCCGCACCATTTCACTAGATTCGAGACAGATTGTTGATTTCAAAGTTATTCATGTGGCTGAAGCCACTAGTTCAGTTGGCATGGAAAAAGTTGGCCTAGAACGGTGTATCCAAAGTCTGCAAGACGATGGATTCTCTCTGGAGACACTTGCCACTGACAGAAACGTGCAAATCACAAGCTACCACTGCAATTCTCAGCCCTGTATACAGACAGCATTAGTATGTGTGGCATATGTCCAAATAGTTGTCTAAAAAGTTATCTGCAGCTGGCAAGAAAGCACAGTGTCTGTCAGTGGCTAAGTGGTCGAAATCAATTAGTAACCATTTATGGTGGTCAGCCGCTAACTGCGATGGTAACCCTGATATTTTAAAAGAATGTTTTATTTCCATTATTTACCATGTTTGTAATGTGCACAAGTTCCCCGGTAACTATATTACACGCTGTAGTCACCCCCCCACTCGAACCCACAGAAGAGAGGCAGACTAAATGAGTGAAACTTGACAGCAAAGCTCACAAATAAATTAAGCAAATAGTTCTTAATAAGCGCTTCCTCAATGACGTCACCAAGTTCACATTCTTTTGTCACACTGGTGATTTGGAGTCGTATCATTCCCTCATCACAAAATACTGTCCAAAACGACAGCATTTTGGGATGAAGAGAATGATCGCTCGAACACAACTTGCTGCGCTTGACTACTCACAAAATGTTAACAGGAAACAGGCAGTTGTAAAAAAGGGAAAGGACAAAGGACAGTTGCGATACAGAAGTGTTTGCACAAAACACAACAAGTAGTGGGTACTGAAGCCTGTCATGGATAATAAAGAGTATCCACACATTCCTCAAATGATGGAGAGAGTAGTAGAGTTAAAGGTGGCTAGTGAGTTACTAGAGTCGTGTCCACTGCCAGTCCTCCCAGCTAACATTGCTCCAATACCTAGACCTTCCAAATCAGAGCTTTTGGAGCATCAACAGTCTAGGTTTAAAAAGTAGTGCTGCTGAGTTTGATATATATACTATATGTGCCAGTGAGTACATGTACAGAGAAACCCCCCTAAACCGATCTCCCACAAAACTAAAATTCCCTCCAAACCACATGTTTTTTTTTCAGTCCCAAATCCTTAAATTTCTGCAAAAATAAATCCTTGTAATACATGTATAAACCAGATGTTTATTATGTACATATGCATTCTGAAATCTTAATTTATACCTGTACAGCTTTGCTACATGTATATGTAATAAACATACTGTTCATGTGACCTAATTCTTTGTCATTCCTATCAGTTATGGCAACACAAATATTCAGTTATGAACAAATGTACTGTATTCAGTAGTTTCATCTGTTGGGACCTGGAAATTGGAGACACCGAGGTTCATGTAGTCCGATATGTTCCAAATTCATTTTTGTAATCGAATCGAAATGTGGCGTTTTTAATCGTTGTTAACCCTTTCCCTGCCACCGTCGCCGAATTGCGACAGGATACACCCCACTATAAAACATTAAAAAAAATACGAAAACACGGCTAGGAATTTCCTTTATATATCCCCGCTAGATGGCGTATGTGTAGCGCATCAATTCGACACCAAAATAATCGTATGTTGTTATTCAAAGTTTTGGAGTAAATTTCGATGGAAAATCACCGATTGTTTTGCCAAAATGACCAGAAGACAAGAAAATTAAGTTCAATGTTGAAGAAACAATAGACCAATTATTCGCTGACAGCGATTCTGAGAGGGGGGCGTGACAGGCCCAGAGGGCCACGTGGCAGGCCCAGAGGGGCACATGGCAGACCTGGGAGAGGGCAGAATGCAGCCAGAAGAGGCAGGGGTCGTGGTAGAGGACGGGAAAATAGAGCAGCTGCTGGGAATGCCACTGACTATGATTGGGTTCAATTGGATTATTTAGAAAATTATAATGCATGGATCCCCACTTTTGGCCAAGATCAGGGGTACATTGGTGATCAGGACTTGACTGATGCAGACCCTCTGACCTTTTTATCATTGTTTCTGAGTGATCATTTCTGGGATATTCTTGTTCTGGAGACAAATAGGTATGCTCAACAATATCTGGAGGCTGAGGATACAGTGCTGAAACCCAAGTCCAGATATCATGACTGGTATGAAGTAACAATAGTTGAAATGAAAGCATTTTTCGCGTTGCACCTTGCCATGGGGTTAGTTGACAAAGCTGAACTCACAGACTATTGGCAACTATTTTGGCTTACTGAAACCCCAGGCTTCAACAAGGTTATGCCTAGAAACAGATTTCAAATAATCTTGTCATTCCTTCATTTCGTGAACAATGACGATCGCATATCGCGTGGCGAGCCTGGTCACGACCGCCTGTTTAAGATACGTCCAATCATTGAAGAAATTGTGCCACGCTTCAAAGCCATGTATTCCCCAAGAAAGGAATTATCCCTAGATGAGATAACTGTGGCCTTCAAGGAGAGATCAACACTGAAACAATATAATCCCAGAAAACTAGACAAATATGGGTACAAAGCATTTGTTCTGAGTGAGGCAGGGACAGGGTACGTCTTGGAGTGGTCAATGTATACTGGCCAAGAAGAAGCAGGTGATCCTGACAATTTGGCAATGGGTGCAACTCACCTGACAGTGAGGAATTTGGTGACCCCTCAGTTCACAGGGAAAGGACATGAAGTCTATATGGATAGCTACTATACGAGTCTTGCTCTGGCCAATGAACTGGCTGACAATGACACCGGTTTGTGTAGGACTGTAAACTGTAATCGCAGGGGGATGCCTGATGAACTCAAAACTAATGTGTTGGCGCTTCGTAAGGGAGATGATCTTGTGTTCATGCGTTCAAACCACCTGTTAGCCTGTGCTTGGCACGATACCAAACGTTTGACAATGCTCTCATCCATTCATGACAACTCTTGTGTCCCAAAGCGGATTCGGGCAAGGGCACACCAGATGGAAATCGTGACATCAACAAGCCTTTCTGTGTTGACAGATATAATAGTTACATGGGAGGAGTGGACACTGCAGATCAAAGGTTGAAAACTTATCTGTTCCCTCATAGAAGTAAGAAATGGTACAACCGGATCTTCAATGCGCTTGTGAGCATCTGTACGGTGAATGCCCTGGCACTGCATTACTAGAAGGACATAGAAAGAAGGAGTTCAGGGTGGGAAGACCCGCAAGGGAGATGCTTCAAAGGCTAGTGGAACGCCATTGGCTTGACGAAGTTCAAGATCGTCCTGATTGTGTAGTGTGCGCTGATCGCTCCCGTTCAGGTGGTCGCCGCCAGACCAAATACAGATGTCGCCAATGTGGAGCAGGACTTTGTGTGCTTATCCTTGTAATGAGAGATACCATACTCTACAGCACTACAAACAGTGCCATCTGGATAGGTAAAATGTCTCAGAAACAAAGACAAAATCCTATCTCACGGTTGACATTTATATTGATAACGCACCGCGAAACTAGATCATTTGTGTTGGGCATTTACACTAAGTAAGGACAAAAGACTAGGATAACTTTTATTGTGTTTACTCAAGTACATACGTTGGAATTGAACATAGATAGCATTTATCCAAACAATATAAAAAAAGAACTGAGCAAATAGACTAAAAAGGGAATTTATGGGAAGATATATTAAAAATTTCAAGAAATCCAAGATGACCGCCATGTGATGACGTCATCATATGCAAATTAGGTAAGAAATTTTATTTCAGAAATTTAAGAAACTACTGATGATACTGAACATTTATTTCCATTACAGTAACAGTCTAGCTCTTACCATTTTCAAACAGTAGTCTTTTGAAATCATGCAACTCTCAAAGATGCACTCTCTGATGGAAGTTGATGGCAAAATCGAGACACATATCTTGTCAAAGGATAGCTGCAACTCCAGGGGCGTAAATCCGTACCGAGGAGTGGGGGGGATGATGACGCGAAGGGGGGGTCTGGAGGGCCCTCCCCCAGAATTTTTTTGAAATTAGACCCCCTCAGATGCGTTTCTGCGCGAGCAGGGGGGGGGAGTCCGGACCCCCTGACCCCTCCCCCCCTGTACACGCCGTGCAGTAATTGAAATCGATTTAGGTCTGCCCATGTCTCCAAATTAGGGGTCATAAGTAGCTGAAACTTTCAAGTAGGGCAGGAGAAGGAGTTTTTTTGTTGAATCTCGCAGGGGATATTTGTTACCAGTGCCTATCCCCTCCTTTCAAGAGCGGGTGGAGCATCCCCCATCCCCCCCGGATTGGATTGGGGAATGAATTTCTACGCCCATGTGCAACTCAGTCATAGATATCAATGATGGTGTCCCATCTACGAGCTGCCCTGCTAACATCAGAAAAGGCAAGTCAATCAGCATTGGAGATTGGTACATCGTGGAGTATGATGGGCAAAGATTTCCAGGTGAAGTAGTTGCGGTAGTAGGGGAAGAATTCCAGGTTTCTGTCATGCAGCGAGCAAGAAAATACTGGAAATGGCCCGCTCGGAAAGACATTATCTACTACTTGCAGAACAAAATGATTCTTTGCAACTTGGACATGTCAGAGGTTGCACAACAACAGGCCGGACATTCAAATTTCTGTTCTGATAGAAGCAATCTTAACAAGTGACTGTTGAGATAGCCTTGAGACAATGAACCTTTGTTTGCCTGCACTTATTTTAGTTTGTAAGCACAAAGACGTTCATTATGTGTGCACCCTCCTTAGATTTGTTTTTTATTCCTAATTATTACTAAAAGAGAAAGACACCCATTCATTTAATCTTTTTGTTTAATAATAGTGTTACCTGAGTACTTACGATGCACATGGTACCGGTCATCACTGTTTTGATATATATCTACTTTACTTAGGCTAGCATTTAGCTCTTTACTTTGGCAGCATGAGCAAATAAGTTCTCATCGTGGTTGAGTCTTAGGGTTAGCACTTAAGTGAAGAGACTGTATAATTTTAAGCCACAACTTAAGCACTTAACATTTTTATCAAGATCAGCGAACACAATGATGTTTGAAAATGTAAACTGCTCAAGAGTGTACAAATTTTTAAGGTGCAGCACATGCACACTAGGGTGTGAGAAAAACATGACCAAATGCATTTTTTTGATGCATGGACAAAGTGTAACGAAACTAATTCGTAACGTAACTAACATGTTTTGTTGTTACTGTGAAAATTTTAAAGCTATTACTAAAATGTTTCATATCAAATAACTTTGCAAGAACACCGCAATTAACATGAATGTCACAGTTTTGTTTTAGTGAACCTAGTTTGAGGAACTTTGGGGACAAAATCTTGTCATTTTTTCCATGTCCTCTTTTATGTAAACGTAACTAACGAAATTAAAGTTCTTGTTATCATTTACTGAAATGTGTCTCATGATTCTGTTTTATGGTGTGAAGTAGGTTTTGTCTTAGAGGGATATGACACTACAAAAATAGAAACATAATATCATAGCATCTTCATGTAGAAGCCAACCTTAGAGTAAAAATGACCATAAAGTGTAACGTAACTAATCATGGAATTGCCCAAATACACTGTTACCTGGACTTTTACTTGACATTTATGATTTTTCTTTTTATACTAGATTCTTAATAGCATATATTTTCCTATCTAAACTACCAAATTCTAGAACCCATACCCATCAAAATAGGCTATTTGTGGGTCAAATCAGAATTTTTTTTCCGGGGGTCCATGTCACCTGACCCCCCTAGCAGGGCTTCGCGCCTTCGCCGCTCGCCCTACCGTCCGTGCCGGAAAAACAGTTACCTGCTATTCATTGTCAAATTACCTGCTTAGTCAAAAGTTAACAAGAACCCTGACTATAATGAAAACTAATTCAATCTATGCTGCTAGGACTAAGAGTAGGAACACCAACGTTGATGCACGTTCATGGGGCGGCCATTTTACATGTTGATTGCCTGGTGAAACGTAAACCGGGCTCTCATTGGTTCAGGGTTGGGAACTCAGCCAGTGAGAGCATGTGTTGTACATGGTGTTGTATCTGACATTGCCGCTGATCATTGGGAATGAATGTGGGTTTGAATTACCACTGATCTCTATTACTGTACACTAACTAGTTAGTCAGTGGTTGTAACATGGTTGTAATACAATCCAATGCAATCTAATAAAAATTGTGATCAATACTAAATAAAATATATTGAAGAAAATAATTAAATTTTGAATAAAATGCGATAAAAATGCTGTCCCTGCCAATCACGGAATTTGATCCATTGCCAGTAATAAATTTATGGAACGAGCAGGGTGTCAAGTCAAGGCCAACGAAAGATAAAATGGCAGAAAACGCATTGGAACTTGTTGAGAATAATGGAGCTGAAGATAGAACAGGGACTCAAACAGACATGATGATGACGGCTGATGATGCTGAAACAGTAAATGACAATGGTGACTGGATAGACTCTGACAATGACATGGAAACTGTTTAAAAAAACAATTGAGTAACTACTCTAATTAATGGCGTAATAAAAACAAATGTTGAAGTACTTCTTTTTTACTTCTTGTCACTAAGGTATGGTACGGAGTCCCCTCAATAAATATTTGTATTTGTCACTGGTCGTGCACGTTTCATCGGACACCACCTGGCTGTCGCCCTATTGAAGTGACAACATCTTGTATTTTCATAGACTTTGTACCGTTTACAAAAAATACTTGCAGTTCTTTTCTCAAAAGATTTGCTCTGAATCTTCATGCCCAGAATGCATATTAGAGCACCATTTTAGTGTCAATATCCAAGACGAATCCCGAACTTCTGCGCTACGTGCTATAAGCTGGACCCTTAAAATTTGAGCTGGGCCCCTAATATTTTTACTTTAGGGGCCCAGCTGGCTACTACATTTTTGGGTAAGTTTTCATCACTGATATTACTTGTCATCATAAATGTAGACAGGTATTTGACACCAAGTCAAATTATATGCTTGTTTTTCTTCCAAATTAAGACCACTCATTCAAAGACAATTCCAGAGGCTGCCTCTTCTAGTGATCCGTTCGTGCCACTGCCTTCCACCTCTGAGTCTGGATTAGCTTCACCTTTAGCAAATGTCAGACTGGAAAATGTGACTATAAAGGGCTATCATCACTACTATATACGGCACAAAGTAATGGCTGCGCCTGCATTTCAATCCTGGTCAGTTTTATTGTGTAAATCATTTAATTTTTGAGTGTCTAGACTCTAGTCTACTAATTAGTGAAGTGAGTGATATTAGGCCTACACGACATAAGCAAGTAGACACCATGAGTGAGTCAGATGATTTTGAACATACTGTTCTAACAGATAAAGCGAAAAAACGTAAAGTTAACGGCCGAAAAAGAGATATGTACAAAAAGAGAAGGTTGGCCGGACATACAACTGGCAATGATTGTCACTGTAAAAGGTTTAAGTGCTTCGAAAATGTTACGACGAACGAACGTGATGAATTGATTCATCATTTCAATATGGATTACTCGACTAAAGATGAACAGGAAGCTTATTTGTTGACACAGATAAAGCCTGTTGCGGTGAAAAGGCACAGGCACAGGTAAAGAAGATTCGATGGAACTGAAAGAATTCTCTTATAATTATGAGGTGAAAATTCCAAGAAATGATACCATTGCATGCTATCGTGCCAGTATGTAAAACATACACTAGTTAGCAAACCCGGCAATCAAATTCTTTCTAACAGTAAACAAATCCATGTTTAACCCTCCTCTTGAGGGTCAAAAGGTTATCCGACACTTACTCTTCGCATGTCAGCAGAAATACCATTTCATGCGTCCTTTTAATAAAGCCATAAAAAATGCTATGGTCACGCTGAAACAAAAAGTTTTCAATCGCTCCGTCAGACCATGTCCTCAGAAAATGTCTAAACTCTGCCCTGTGCCCCATTGACCGTTGACCTGTGACCTCCAATTTCGGCACCAGTGATGGTTTTTCCTACCTATGATGCCTATACACCGACTATCACGAGCGGCCTAAGGTCGAGCCGTTGATTTGTGCCGCATTCTGCATTTCTCCCTATCCTTAAGTTAAGGATGGAATGTTCGCCCTTCTTTTACACCTCTTGACCTTTGACGTTTTGACCCCCCAGCTTCGACATCCCAACTCGTTTTCGGATTACCCCACCACGTCCGACTTTTTCGAATCCATACGTCGAGCCGTTTAGATTTGTGCCCAACTGTTGAGGACGCACGCACGCACGCACGCACGCACGCTCATGCGATTCTACAAGCTGCATCTGACTATGTCAGATGAGCTAAAAACTAGAAACGAGCAGTTGCCGCCAACTACATGTATCCCCCGTGATCTAGTATGAATGGAATATCTCTGTAAGGACGTAGAGGGCAGGTAAAGTTAAATAAGTTACAAAGACAAAGGTTTGTTAGACAACGTTCTGGTCTGCCTCAGATGTGCAAGTATATGAAATCTGGTTACCCTAGGAGGCCGAAGAGAAAATGTAAGTCGACGGTCAAGGTCAAACTACGGTCAAGGGCAGTGGTGGTTTTGGTATGCGACAGACTTTCTCCCCAAGATGTGTAAGCATACCAAGCAGTGCTCAATTTTAAGTTTTTTTGGGGGTTGTCCGGAGGACAACCAAGAGAGTAGCATATGGTTGTCCCTCAAGAGTTTTTGGTTGTCCAGATATTATTTAAACATGCGCTGCATGAGCTCTGCTCGCGTGATGCTCAGTGCTGTAAAGCAAAAAACCTAATCATGTACATTTTGTACGTATTGCAGTGACAGCAGACATGGCCATTCGCATTGTTTCATGCACTCATTATATGAAGAGAATAAAATATTGGTAATGTGGTAAATGATGCTGGGATCAATGACGTATAATAATAGTAATTAAAAGTTGCATGAAATTTATTTCATAACATTTACATTAAAACTGTGTCAAGTCACAGATGAGCAAAAATTTTCAAAATTTTCAAAATTATAATTTAGAGGTTGGACACCGGACAACCACGGAAGCAATTTGTAGTTGCCATAGAGAAAATCCAGTCGTCACGAACGACCGAACGACTGTTAAAATTGAGCCCTGCCAAGTTTGGTCGCGCTAGGTCAATTAGGGGCTGAGTTAGAGAGCGGAAGGGAAATATGATCAAGGTCAAGGTAAAGGTGAAATAATCCCTTTCCTTTAAAAACCTTCCTTTTTACCTTTAAAAAAAAAATAATTTCCTTAAGTTTTTGCAGTTTTTACCCGATATCGAATCATCTTCAAATTTGGCATGAAGGTGCGTTATAGTAAAGCAAAGACGCCAATCGTTTTTGGTGTGGGCGGAGTCATCGTTGCCATGGTAACAACATTTTTGTGGAAATATTGTAGAACCTGTAGGGCAATTCCAAGCAAACATGGACAAGACACCAAAAAATAAAATCTATGTCACAACTTTCCTTCCACTTCTAAGTTATAGCTAACATATGTAAGTAAACAGAAATAAACTTTTTTTAAGGGTTCTGTGTCGCATTGTGCAAAGGCAGACCTGTTTTCCCACTGTTCTTAGACGCATTAAAAGTGAGCATGCCAAGGAGATTTCTTCTAAGTTGTATATTTTCTTCAAAAAAGATTCTTCCATCAAAAGTTTAATATGTTTAATTAGTACCATGACCCATCTGTTACAATCCAAAATAAATTCAAAGTTGCCTCTTCCATTCAAGCCGTACAGTGAGTGTACCTGTTAAAGCTTCAATGTGGTGTAATGCGACTGACCGAAAGATGATTTGTTTTCAATTATAGCAAAAATCCACTGATTATTTTATTGGCATTTCAAGTCTGAAATGACTAAGGAATTGAAAGCTTTAGTCAGCATTATTTAATAACGAGCCAACCAGAATTGTAATGCGACTAACCGGTAATGCGACTGACCAAATCTGATTTCAAGAAGAGGATGCAAAGAGATCAGTAAAGCCAGAGATCTTAGTCATGACTAAATAGAGGGCAGCAGAGATATGGACAGCTGCAGAGATGTCACTAATGAATGGATAAAGGGCAGCATTGTTTTATAAACCTACCCAGTACCCACAATGCACTTCTACAAAGCACATGGTTATAATATAAGTACATGATTTGTGCTAGTCACAGTAGGCAGTTTTGAACACTCCTGTTTTCACTTGTTTACTTGTAAATACAAGGTTCCCACTCAAATGGTTAGCTTAAATTTAAGGACTTTCATGGATTTGCGCGAGCTTTGGAGCACCTTCCATCACACGTGAAGATTGTGTCCTTGTGGTCCGATGGACCGCGGTCACAGTTCAAGAACAAGTTTGTAGCTGCAGCAATTAAAGATCTTGAGAAAAAGCATGATGTCAAAATCAAATGGTCTTTCTTTGCAACGTCACATGGAAAGGGGCCTGTTGACGGAATCGGGGGTGCAGCAAAGAGGTTTGTGTGGGATGCTGTAAGATTGCGGAAGCATAGCGTCAGAAATGCAGCAACCTTTGCAAGTGCCGCATCCAACATGCCCAAGGTCAAGGTACATGAACTTACAGCAGCTGACATCAATGCAAGAAATAAAAATCTTGACCTAGATGCGACCTTTGAAAAAGCTAAACAAATCAAAGACATTGCACAGAAGCATTTCATCCTCCCCCCTACACCCACTCTGTCTCTACAGTGTATCATCCCTACACCCCTCCCCCCTGACCCCTACACCCTCTCTGTCTCTACAGTGTATCATCCCTACACCCCTCCCCCTGCACCCTCCCTGTCTCTACAGTGTATCATTCCTACACCCCTCCCTGTCTCTACAGTGTATCATCCCTACACCCCTCCTCCTACACCCTTCCTGTCACCACAGTGTATCATCCCTACACCCCTCTCTATACATACACTTGTAAACACATACGTACGAACTTGTCTTATCTTGAACTCACGGAGAAATGAATTGCGCAACAAACCCATACAGCTGATGGGTAGCGAATGGATTGCACGTGTACTACTGTTTTGATTTAGGCCAATTTTGTTTTAGGGAAAGCATTGTTTCTTGTTGCGATTCACATTCTCAAAATTTGCTTCCAGTAAACCACACGTACACACACGTACACGCGCACACGCACACGCACACGCACACGCACACGCACACACACACACACACGTACACACACACTCGGAAATCAGCAGAGCGTCCCCTTGCGCAATCATGCGTGTACGTGTCGCAAGATCTCTGTGTGAGATGGATGTCCGGACGCGTAGCCTAGCGGTTCCTTTTCCGGAACCGGTCGCGTAGCCACGGCCTTATTTTTATTGTGCCAGGCGGGCCACCAACCCGACAGTTTCAGGTGGCCCGACGCCGTTTCAGGTGGCCATGGCACCCGGGCCACCGTTAAAGTCGAGCCCTGCTTATTTGATGGACAAACTTTAATGCGACTGACCGTAATGCGACTAACCAGGGTTTTTCTGTACACAAAGGATACTTTTAAGTTGCTTACCAAATGTAAATACCTTATTTGAGACTTCTGTGTGGAGGTCATGTGTTGCATGTAATAAACTGGAAAGTGTTTTGGTTGAGGAAACTTTTGAATTGTGATAAGTGGATTTTTTGCCTTGGCCTTGTTCGCGTAATGCCGACTGACCGATTTTTACGATGTCATGGCATCTCACAGTACAAAGCCTGCAACATTTCCAATAGCCATTACTTTAAAGCTTTGGCGTGTCAAGTTGAAATCAGTGTATAAACTTGACAGAAAGACTCACCCTTGTAAAAACTGCATACCACCAAATTAAGATTGACACCACTAAAAGTGTAATGCGACTGACCGTGGAATTGCCCTGTAACTTGTGCTGTTTTTACCCGATTGTCATGGAATTTGGCACACAGGGCTGATATAACATGTCCTATATATATATATATATATATATGTATAAATTGGTCCTGTGTGCCAAATTTCATGACAATCAGGTAAAAACTAATGATCCGAGAAGCACTGCAGCCGGTAGAGCGCTCACAAGGAAATCTCTGCGGCGGCGGCGCGACGAGGCCAAATCCATAGTATCCCCCCGAACTCTTTCGGGGGATACAATTATTTATAACGCTGTCAATAACACTTGATTCACCATTCTGCCCGATACTACCGATACTGCGATACAAAACTAATACGCTATAACCCACATAACTGTGGCAACAACATGGCGGCCGTGCTTGCATGGCGCTCAACACGGATTGCGATTTAACAGTGAATTATTGAAATAATATATAGTGTTTGTACAGTACCCAGTGGCTAATATCGATTGATTACGAATGCAGGACACCGCGTAAGTCCTAATTAGCATCTGTCCCCGTATAGTTTACATTTTATTGGGACCAACGCGTACGTGATTCGGTACACCTGAAAATGATCCGCTATTACTGCAAGCACATGAGATCGTCATCGACTCGGCAGAAGCGATGTATGGCATCTAATTAAAAACACAAGTATATTCCAAATAAAGGCAGATAACAAATTTTCAAAATATATATATATATATATATATATATATATATATACTGTAAACGAGCCTAATTGAAAGCACATTCTAGCATTTTGCAGGTAGTGATCCTAACCTGTATGATACAGGCGGTTCCGGTTCCGCTTCAGCTCACTTCACCGCCTGTACCGCTTGCTTCTTCAGCCCGCTTCCCAAGAAATGATTGCGCCCAATCAGAGAGCTGTAGCGGGATTACGTCACTACCGGTTAAAATTAAAATGGCGACCATGGCGAAAGCTGTAAGCGATGTTGAGACAAAATATCACATTGAGTTCAAAACCTACCAAAAGACGGCAATTGAGTCAGTAGTGAATGGCAAGGATACATTTGTTGTTCTTCCAACTGGCTACGGCAAGTCATACATATACTCGTTTCTGCCAGAAGTGTTCAATGGAGTGCTCGGACAGACCGACTCGTCTTTGCTAGTTATCTCACCATTACAGTCATTGATGGTAGATCAGGTCAGAGCATTGACAGATTTCGGCATAAAAGCTACCTTTGTTGGCGAGATGCAGAACGATAGCAATGTTGACACTGAAATTGAGAAAGGACATTTTTCAATTGTTTTTGCATCCCCGGAGGCTGTACTGACGAGCACACGATGGCGAAGGGTGTTGACCAGAGGTAGATTTCAGCAGACTCTGAAGGCTGTAGCAGTAGACGAAGCACATTGTATTACGCAGTGGTAAGTTATATTACCGATAAAATTAAATTAAATTCAGGTAATCTGTACATTTTTTAGGTATATATAAATTAATCTACAGATAACAAATATTGGTTTTAAAATGAAATATATACTAATTTTCTTGTGAGGTTTTTTAAATATATTTACAATACAATATGTATGTATGTGTGTGTGGTATGTATTTATGTTTGTATGTATGTATCTTTGTATACATGTGTATGTATGTATTATATGTATGTATATCTATATTGATATGTGTGTATGTATGTACATGTATGTATGTATGCAAAGTTACTTCGCAAATTCATGAATATTTGTCACCTGTTTCTTAATTTATATAAATATTAAAATAATTAGTGATATCAACAATTTGATCGGGTTAAAACTAAAAAGTTTGCTACTAAAATTACTATTCTACTTGAATAATGATCAACTCACATTTTGTCATTTGTGTCAGTTTTTCGATTCGTTGATAACTTAGTTTGAAATTTGTTATAATATAAAAGCATTGATTTAATAACTTAGTAATGTGACGTATCAAGGTATATTTATATATATTATGTTTGATATGTTTTTATTGTTACTTTAACAGGGGAGCCGACTTCCGCCAGGAATACGCTAGACTCAACGAAATCCGCTCTGTGATCGCCAGTGACACTCCGTTCTTGGCCCTAACCGCTACAGCCACCGAGGGAATGAGGAAGGAGATCTTCAAATCACTACAAATGTCATCCGACAGCACGACAGTGGCAATAATTCCGGAAAGGACCAACATCCGGTATACCTTCCAAAAGGTCAAGAAAGACATAGGACAGAATCTGTACTGGTTGGTTCAGGAGCTGCTGTCCAAATCAGACCCGTGCAAAGCCATCATATACTGTAGAAACATTGCATCATGTGCAGATTTGTACGAACACTTCATGCTTGCGCTGGGGGATAAGGCATTTACATCAAAGGAAAAGACTTTGCAGAGTCGTGTTGTGGGGATGTTCCATAGATCGACTTCGGATGCCAACAAGACACATATCTTGGAGACCTTTGTTAAGGCCGATTCGCAGCTTAGAGTAGTTTTTGCCACGATAGCATTTGGCATGGGAGTAAACATCCCAGATGTAGATATTGTTGTGCATTGGGGTGCACCCAGGGGTGTAGAACAATTCGCACAGGAGTCTGGAAGAGCCGGTAGAGATGGCAGACAAGCAGACTCCATTGTCTACTACAATGGATATGACTTGAGATCGGGCAGCTCCACCAAGGAGGTGAGGGCTCTGTGTACAGGCGATACCTGTTCCCCAGGCGCTCTGTGCTACAGGCGATACCTGTTCCTCGGCAGTACATGAACAAGTTACTTTAAACTGGAAGGTGTCAGTTCAACTTCCACTGATCTGAGTGAGGATGCAGATATCATCAATGACATCAAGTGCTGCACATTGTGGCAAATCGGAAATTGTGAATGTGGTTCGTGCTTTACAGTCGCAGCACTTGTGCCGAGCAGTCACGAAATGCTCAGCTTGTTGTACCCGGAAGCTGGGAGTGAGTGCGAGATCTGTCCACCCAATCAGTGTCGGATTTACTAAGCAGCTAATTTAACTCGACTTCCGTATGTGTCTGTGCGAGGAAATGGTCATTCCAACTCTTCGACAACCATTGATTTATGAACCCGGTTGAGTCGTGAAAGTTAGTGACAGTCGTGGTGAATCCTGCATGTTTTTTAATGTGCAGGATGATGACATTGCGAGTCTTGGTCTCTGCTTCACATGAGCTTGGACTGGGGCACATATCTGAGAGAGAATCTCAATGAGTATACAGTGAGGATCTACATAGCCTCGTCATATCAGCGAGCTATTGCGACGCCCATCATTTCGTCGTGTAACGTCGTGTTCCAACCCTTCGGACGTATCGCGATGTTATAGCTAGCGTCTCGACGACAACACCGGATAGAGCGATCTCGTGACCGTGTATTGCTCCTACGTAATAGAGACGAGAGCAGTTGGTTGACCGTCGCCCCTCATCAAATAGGGAAGTTAAGTTGTTACTATTCGCTACTCTGCAGGTTAGAGCGCGTTGTACACTGAATGGTCTCAGTACATTGAGTTAGAGGCACTTACACGCTACGATGACACATACGTAAGCAGGTGAGTGCGTTATAGTCCTGCAACCCTCACGCGCTTAAGGGCGCCGACAATCCCTCATTGACGATCAGCTTTAACCACTCGTACCGTTTCACCAGAACTCTCTGCGGTCGTGTATGACCGAGAGCTTATGGAGAGCGCAGACTACGCGGAATTTCTGAGACATCTGTACCATACTCTTATCTGACCTCCCTGTAGCCAAGGCTGCTGTAATGCACGACAACTTGTCCAGATTAGCTGTTATCGCAACGTTTCGAGACATTACACAGCTCTCTAATGGAGAGCGAGAGAGAGAAGCGACACCGCTACTTCTCTAGTTAAGCTGCGAGCTGTATTCGGATTATAGAAGTATATTTCCTGAATCTCACGTTCTCAGGATATTTCAGAGTATGTTACATTAGACTCGAAAATTACTATTGGATACTCATAGCGTGTCTCTGAACCTTTACTGGTTTTTCTCTCTCTCTGTACCATGGCGTAATTTTATGCGTAAGGAACAATCCCCATCTTTTGGTGTGAGATATTGATGTTATCGCTATTACTATGATGTATATTTACCGGTATAATATAGATTCTGTAAGATCGCGAGCCAGTACGTGACGCACACGGTACCGAACAGACTAGCTAAGCCTCGGTTGTGGATAGTACTGATAATTTGCGACTAGAATTATCTGTCTCTCGGTCCCGAATACATTTGAAGTGGCCAATTTTTCGTTCAACATAGCAAAAATGGTTGACATCAGCTCTACACTTCGGCTTCTGGCATCGTGTGGACTAGCGGCACCCTATGTTTCTTGGAGGCTTGAGGGGGCAATAAATAAACATTGGCGGCGGGCTGCGTTTCGTGTTATCACACAGATCTGTCGAAGGCAGCTCTTGTGTGTCTAACCTTCATTCCATATGTGTCACTAGATTACCACGCCCCACTGAACTGTATCTAAAGACCTCTCGTCAACATCAAAACATGGTGTCAGAATAAACGATAAAGAGCATAGCCGCGCGTATGCTACAGGGAACTTATAGTAGCTTAGCAACCCAGTTGTGATAGTGCGCGCCCATGTTATGCTCAGTTTGCCAGCGTGGTTGCGTATGATGGTCAGTTATCAAGGGTGCAGATCGCGCGGCTAAATTGTTAGTGCTATGCTAACGACGCGCATCTCGGTTCTAGTGGCTTCTGTCGTGATACCTACTGTGCGTATTTTCGGATGAGCAGTTGACCTTTGATCTGACCCTATACCGCTCCTGGGCGGAACTTTACATCACGCTTCATGCCCTGGCCGGTTACGTAGTGACTATGGCCACAAGTTCGCAAGTCCAACCCACCTGAGTGCATCTCGCACTGTTGAGCGACGCCGGAGAGGCTGTCGGTCACAAATGCTGCCATGCAGCAGAACGGAATGCCCTTTGCGTTGGAGTAGACATTCAGGACCACAGAGGGTCTAATTGCGTTGCTCAGAATATATCGGGAGCAAGCCAGTAACTTCAGAAGCGGTAGACGACCCCTCATTTAACTCAATGGGTTGTATTGAAGCCGCAGGCGAGGACCGAGGTTTCTAATGAATGTCCTGAAGTCTAACGCGAGGAATATGCAAGAGGGACAATGGACTTATTCGAGCCTCACTAAAGACCGTTAAACTGGAGAGACTAATTTTGTACCGAAAGTAAGATACGTTCCTTTTGTAGACGCGTGCTGGCAAAACATATTTCAATCAACGTTTGCCCGAGTAAGGCACGGCGTGTATCCTAAGGTGGGAATCGCCTTTATCATCACCCGCAAGCTCTGTCACTCTTGCTGGGCCTATAACACGTGCATGTACTATCACTGGTTACACTGCACATGAGCAGGAAGTTTAACTCCGGTGTGGGGTTGCGGATAGGATTTCGGTGCTGCGCTGGAGGTATTAGTTTATTGGGTTAGACTTAAAGGACGGCAGAGTTGTCAGCACGGTCTGCAACTTGACGCAGACATTGTCGCTTAGAACCGCCATGGACAAGGCTCGCCAGAGCGAAACATTCGCAAGCAACAGGGCATCTCTGCGAGGGAGGCGGCTCCCCCATGCCGGCGGAGGTCGCAAAGTCGAGAAACGCACGAGATGCCTCAATGGCGTCCCAAACGTCCACGCCTACACCGCCATACAGTGGTAGCAGTCAGAAGCAGTTTAGCCTAGAAGCAGCTGGGTAAGTCGTGCCCCAAACTGTGGAACAACCGCCGCCATGAGAAAAAGCCGTGTTCCACAAAGGTGTAGAATGCCATTTTTGCAAGAAAATTGGCCACTTCAAAATGTATTGCGAATTCGCAGATCGTCAGACGAGGTTCGGCTTCTGAGCAGCGTGACCCCTCATCGCTTTCATGGGAGACACTACAATCTCAACCAGAGGGGATCTTGTCGCTGGCAAAGCCGAAGTAAAGATAGCAGATCGTTCACGTGTGGAAAGATACGGCGTGCTGAGTTACGTGTATGCCATGAAAATGTACTCGCGAACGCTCACTATGGAAAGTGGCCCAGGCACTGCCAAGGTCTAGTTAAGGAGCTGCTGGTTCAAACTCGACGCTTCGGATTGTTCGTGAGAAAACTAGAAAGGTTCGCCGCGTCGCCGATAACCGACATCTACTGTGTGTCGTGGACCTTTACGAAAACCACTTCTTGCGATCAGCCATCAGAAACTCAATCTCGTGTCGTTAGTCAGTTCGTCAAGGGCAAAGCTACAAGTGGAAAAGTCAATTTCCAGAAGCTGTTTTCATCGCTTTTTGCGTAGATGAAGGGTGACTATGAGATAAAATCCGAGCGACAGTGCGCCGACCGTTACTCGCATCTCAACGCCACGTCGTGTCCTATACCCGCTGTACGCAGAAGTCAAGAAAGCCTCGTGCGCATGGAGGAGCATGGGAGTTATTTCCAAGATAACCGCAGCCAAACATACTGCGTGTGCTGGGAATGGTTGTGGTTCCAAAACCACGAACTGTCAGGATCTGGCGTAGACCTGACGAAAGTTGAAGTGAAAGTGTGAAACGATGAGAAAACACATTCTACATCTGTGACACTACACTACGGTCGAAGTGGAGCAAAGGGTGTTCGAAACTCGACGCAACTCCGGGTTCTTGGCCAGTTGCCTCTAAGCAAGAATCGCTAGTCTGACCACGTTCATCACTGCCATTCGGGAGTTCTGGTTTTAATAGGGGGACTCCCTTGCGAATCTCATCGGCGCCTGAGATATTCCAGCGCGAATGCCAGGACATTCTAGAGGGCTTTAGAGGGAGGTTTTGTGCTCATAGATGACTTCTGATCTTCGGAAAGGATCAAGGCGAACACGCATGGAAGACTCCACGGCTTGTTCTAAGTAGTCTGAGCAGCAGGCAGGTGTTACCCTGAATGAGCACAACGTGTTGAGTTTTCAGTCGATGACAATCAAGTACCTAGGTACTATTCAGTGTTTCATTTGTTTTTTGTTGTAGTTTTTTTTTTTTTTTTTTTCCGAAGAGCATTTAACGCAGACCCAAAACAAGCGTCAAAGGCGTATACAGAGAGTGGAACGGCCAGGCTGAACATCACGGAGCTTAGACGTTTCCTAGGCAGATTGGGGGCTCAACCAGCTGGGGAAATTGTCCCTAACCTACGGACAGAACGGAGCCTCTCGCTCGTTACTACAGCGTGGAAAAATAGCCTGGCTCTTGGAGTTCAAGCTCAAGGAAACGTGGCTTTCATGGAACTGAAGGCATGCTCTCACGTACGACTGGTATTCTTGCGCTGTATGATCGGAGCAGAGACACGCTCGTCTCAGCTGGATCGTCGTCGTATGGATTAGGAGCCGTCATAAGCAGAAACAGAGTGACAATGTGTGGAAACAATTAGCATACGGCGTCACGTTCATTGTCTGATACGAGAAACGGACGCCGCAGGGGAGAAAGAAGCGCCTAGCCTCAGCTGGGCTTCGCATAGGTTCTAAGAGTCATTTGATTGGAAAACATTTTACTCTAGAAACGGAACCATAGGCCGTTAGTGTCGTTCTTCGGGCTCAAAGCAGTTGGCTATGAGAACTCCCCGCACGAGTCCAACGCTAAACTCCGACCTATGATCCACGCTATACAGCTATTATACATGTTCCGTGCGGAAAGAAACTGTATACGCAGACGCCTTGTCGAGCGCGCCAGGTCTATTTTTCGCAAAACGTCTGAGGAAATATAGAACTCGCGCAGGATGTTCAAGCACTACGTGGCTTAATCGTGCAGAGTCTGCCTGCACCGCAAAAAACGTCTAGCTGAAATGTCGCAGAAAGCAGCGCAAGACGAAGTGTGCTGCCAAATCGTCAAATACTGCTCAAGATGGTGTGGCAGATAGATCATCGTCAATGGAGCTGTGTTTACGTTCTACCCAGTAGTAGGTGAACCTGACTGTTATGGACGGGTTACTATAAGGGTACCTAGAAGTTAGTTCATACCCACAAGCATGCCGCTTAGAACTCTTGCGATAGATTCACGAAGGTCACCAGGGGATAACTAAGTGTAGGACCGTCCGTGGCCCACAGGGAATCTGTGTGGTGGCAGCGACTGAGTTATTACAGTTCATGCAAACTTCTAGTGCAAAGCATTAACATTCTGTTGCAAAGAAACGTGTTTGTTCGCATGAGCGACATCACACCGAGGTTCCAAAAACGTCCTTTGGAGATCGTGGGTTACAGACTTGTTTGACTGAAGAGTGTCACTACCTTGTAGTACTCGATTACTTCTCCCGCTATATAGAACTCGCGAACTGTTGACGCAGCCTATCATCGGAAGCTATAGTCAACATCTTAAGTCGATCTTTGCGAGACATGGAGTCCAGAATGCGTCAGGTCCGACAACGCGACCACAGTATTCCGCAGAAGAATTCGGCAAGCTTCGCGGATACCTACAACTCACGCATGCCACGAGTAGCCCGCGTATCCTCAAGGCCAATGCAGAGTAGCAAGGCCGTGCCAACGCTGAAGACCTGGCTGAAGAAGGCAAAAGCACCCATACTCGCAGCTGCGTAAGCGTTACAGAGCCACAGCCTCTCTTTCAACGGGTACACGCCGGCAGAATGCTGCTTCGGAAGACGCGTGTGCGTACAACATCTTCCGGCAGCATCCGAACCAAACAAACCCCCGTTGGCCGATATGGACAAATCTCGCTAGATGACAAACTAGAGTACCGCAAAAAGACGCGGAGAAACCGCTATAGACGCCTAGTCACCGGTGCGAGAAACAACTCATGAACTGGGAAGGGAGACAATGTGCTGGGTTCGCTGATAAAGACGTCGCGCCTAAGCATCATTGCACTCAAAGCGGAGACACCCGATCGCTATGTTGTAGAGACTCAATCTGGTCGTCCCTGAGACGAAACCGCCAGAAGCCTTGTGCAAGCTTAGCCCAGATCATTTGAGCAGGATTTCGTCGAAAAACCGGCCGATCGCGAAGTACATGTGAACACCCCGCAAGCAGTTGCGCCCATCCCAAACTCTTGGACTGTTAGTTCGCTTGAAACAGGACATTCCATCCCGGTGAATGAACTTCAACTGCCATGAGGACAGTATCAGGGAATGTACCGATGACGACAGCTCAAGCCTAGCCCCAGTATGTGACTAGGTCAGCAGAGTGTCCAAACCGTGGTGAGAAGCTAGCACTGGAACAATCTGTTTAGCCAGATAGGTGTGTAATGTTGAGAATTAGTGGTTCAAAAGATAGAGTTGATGTGTTTACAACTGATAAAGTGGTTGATGCGTTAGGTGGTACAATAGCATTCCCAATTGTTGCCAGCTATTATATATAATCTTGTCAGGAATGATCTATTGGATAATTGGGACTGTATGGGAATTCATATCTGCAAGAGCTGCCATTATTAGGTTTTTATTTCATCTCAAAGGGGCGAATGTTGTATTATCATAATTATCTGTTCTGTGTCAACAAGTTATTCAGCACTGCATCATCGTGCTGCCACCTATGGACGGTTGAGGCGGAACTAAATAAAACATGGCTGGTTTCTGTTTACGCAAGGCTTTTAGCTGCCTACTCATTATTTGGTCTAATCTAACGCCCACAGATAAACCTCGCTGACTCAACAATACGTTAGACATTTTCCATACCGCTATATATCTACAGTACTGCACAGTAACACAAATGCAATTTCTGGAAATAGTACATCTATATTAGTGCTTTTAGGAGGTATAGACAGATATTTGTTAAAACTATTCAAAGATAGATATACACATGTCTACTTAAGTCTGTCTACCTAAGGCACTTAAGGCTACTGATTTTCCATACGGACGTATTTATATGACACTTTTAGAAAATGTGTTCTTAACAACACATTTAAGCTTTATCATATTTACAAATGTTACAGGTCAATAGTGTGATGACACCTCTACTAGATAAACACAACATAACTATAAATTTCATGAAGAAAACGAAGTTAGAGCATGCTAAACATTAGGTAGACAGCAAATCTGTCTACCTAACAAATTTGTCTACATAACGGCTGGTTTTTTACACCCGGTGTCTACATATGGTGGGATTAAGATATATATATTATATATATATATATATATATATATATAGTATAGAGAGAGAGAGAGAGAGAGAGAGAGAGAGAGAAAGAGAAAGAGAGAGAGAGGGGAGAAGAGTTATTAGTGACTGCGATATTTGAATTGATTCCCATGATGGTACATGTTTTACGTACAATGTATGTGTGTAGACATATGTCACAATTCCTGTATTGTGTTTCAACATGTGAGCTAAATACTAGAGAGAGAGATAATACAATATAATAATATACAATATACATGTAAGATAATGACTACAAATTATAAATATACCCGATAGTGTTTTTCTCGCACCAAATCACAAACGATAATGTCACCCGGTAGAACGTATTTGCACCATATCGCAACAAATCACAAACGATAATGTGGTACAATTAATATAAAATAATGCAAACATGCATAAAAAGTGACTAATGTGACACACAGTCAACCTGACACTACACAGTCAACCCGACATCTACACTACACAGTCAACTCGACACTACAAAGTCAACTCGATACTACAGTCAACTCAACATTATCTACACTACACAGTTTTATCCACTCGACACTCGGTCAGCCAAACTTTATCTACACGTACACAACACACAGTTTTATTCACTCGACACTCAGTCAGCCAAACTTTATCTACACGTACACAACACACAGTTTTATTCACTCGACACTCAGTCAGCTTTTATTCACTCGACACTCGGTCAGCCAAACTTTATCTACACGTACACAACACACAGTTTTATTCACTCGACACTCGGTCAGCCAAACTTTATCTACACGTACACAACACACAGTTTTATCCACTCGACACTCGGTCAGCCAAACTTTATATACACGTACACAACACACAGTTTTATTCACTCGACACTCGGTCAGCCAAACTTTATCTACACGTACACAACACACAGTCAACCCGACACGACATGGTCGATCTGGCATTATTGGTAAGATCGCAATCGTTGAATGCGGGCACTCTGTTCTTTTTGCCTTGTTAGCCACAATCCTAGAGGACCTAGACTTTTCCCGTGAATATTGTCAAGTCTGCTGTAGGGCATATCTGGAAATGACTGGTGAAATCGTCCTGGTATTTGGGCAAATAGTGATTCACCCTTCATTTCTCGAACCAACAACTTGACATCGTTCTGGATGGATGGTTTGTGGTGTTTAGGGGCGCCAAAGTAGACATCAAGTCCAGTTTTATATGCGTTCATAATTCGGTCGAGTGCTGACAAACTGCGTCCTGCTCTTCGGATAGACTTTGTGGTCAGATTGCCCCTCAAGGACGACAAAGCATCTTTGGCCACCATGTTCAAGAATTCAAGTGCAACGTCGCCAGGCACATTGCCACCTGCCCCACCATGAATATTTATGCACCTGTTGTGCAGCATCTGGTGTTGCTGCCTGGCCGTCAATGTGGCAAGTAGCTGTGACTGCAGCCTAAACCCCAGTAACCGGTACTTTGTGTGGTTGTTTTGGTGATAGAGGAGCATATCAAAGCGCCACATCCGAGTTAGCCTGTGGCCATCGTTCTCCTCGGCTGCGTCCTCTCTCACCCAGTCCATCAGCCCTTCACGCAGCACATTGCAGGAATAATTGAATTTAAAGTCCTCCTTTGACGCTGTCGACTGGCCATCAGGAGTGTTTCGGGCCATGGGGGGGTCACACTGCTGTAGTTGTACATCCTGGTACAGGCACATGGCTCTATGTGTTTGTCGGCACTTCCCATCGATCGCAAAGTCCCGATGGCAGCCCGGAAATCCACACGGAACGCGACACGGCATGTTGGTCGCCATATCGGGTACTCCATCACCCTGATTTAGGAGGTCGTCGGGCGAAGTAGTCGTCGCCACGAAACTGTCAACAATTTCCAATGCAGTCTGCGCCAGAAAAGCCGCCTTCTCCTCATTGGATGCAAACTGCGCTGGACTGTCGTCGTCCAACGACTCCAGACCGAGCTTGTGAAGTGCCGATAGCAGAATAAAGCTGATGGTCACAAACCGGCTGAATTCCCGACAGTCGTTCACAGCATCTTTTACGATCGACTTCACCCGTGTGCGCTCAAAGCGGTTGCGTAGTTGGAACAGTGTCCCCTTCTCGCCAGCTGACGACGTCTTGTAGTAGGAATTGAACAGATCCTATTATAAATAAAGAAATATTTATATTAGAAAAAGTTGAGTCACAAATGTGAGCATAGAAAATAAATTCAATATTACGATGAGAGTCAGGGGAATACATGTACTATGGATTAGTCTCCATTGTGGTAGTGCCATGGCCGCAGACACTTCTGATTGTTTTACGCGTTACAGCATTCGTCTAGCGAAAATGAGCAATTCTGGTTTTATGTATTAACAGAGTTTAAGATGGAGATTAACTGGCCATTAACGTTGCAAAGTTCTTAACCTGATTTAAAAATGAACAAATTCTGTTCATTTTATGCGATGTACAGGCGAAAGACTGGGAGATAACTATAAAATTGTATATATATATATATATATATACAGACTAACCCTATTTTAATTATAATTGTCGAGAAAGTCAAACATACAGTATTGACTATAGGCCTTACCTGTAGAGCGAGAACATGGCCATGCCAGTCTTCGCTGTGGGCAACTAGTCCATCCAGGCGATCCTCGGGTGTGATGCCATCAGCTCTGGCTCGTTGCGATCCAACCGCACGCTCGACACTCAGGCCATCTCCCCCCAGCAGGAGCGGCTTCATCACATCATCAGCCGTTCTCGGGACATACTGCTGGAGGTGGGTCATGATGTCTATCATCTGCTCTGTTATATTCTCGTCCTTCTCCATAATGCCCAGAGGGACCTGTAATATAAACATGCAATTTTTTAAATTAAAAAAAATTAAATATCACTGGTTAATAGATTTATATGGTAAACATCCTAATAATTTGTAGAGTAAAAATAAATTCTTCAAACTTGGGAGTGTGTGAATAATTAAGCCAACATGCAAATACATTACCATAATTTTATTATGAGTGTATTAATTATTAGGATATTTACTGTGATTTCCTTCCCCCCACACACACACAATGTGCAGATCAATCATAAATTATTATTACATTTAAACACCCCTCCCGCCCATAGTGTGCAGAACTGCAGTTCATGAAAAATATAGTAATTGTGTCTATTAAGCCACATTGATACAGACAAATAGAAAAATTAAACAAATAAAATTTTTTCAACAAATTACAAACGGCCTATTCAGACTAGTGATTTAAAAATAATTTGTGACCATGTAAAAATTATTATGGAGATGTTAATATGTTGAACACTAAATAATTTTGTTAACAATTGAAAATTCAGATTTAACTGTGGCAATCAAGAAAGTGTCTGCAAGTGGCTGTGACACCGTGTAGAGTGTCAAGTGCATGATTCGTTGATGGATACACCTAAAAAGTAATTTATACATGTTCATGTGTGTAAAGCAAACTCACCACATTGCTCTTTCTCTTGGACTGCTCTGAATACTCATGTGGGATGTGGTCAGTCACAAGGTGCTTGATGTCGTGAAACATTTTCATGTGCTCTGTGAGGACGCGCTGAATCAAGACCCGCATATCTTCTCTCAGAAGCCGATGATCTTCAGCTGAAGGTAGGAAGGCAGAGTTTGGAATGTAGTGTGGATATATCCTTCGCGTGATATTCTGTCATCAAGTGTTCACACCATACACCGTTCCGGGACAGCTATGGAATGTACCAAGTTGTGCTACTTTTGTTGACTGTCATGTTTTGAGCAACATGCTGAACAGTTCACAAATTTGTCGTATACAATTCGAATCCAGGGAACCAGTGCTGGTGGTGAGTGCTTCCTTTATAGTCCGTTGTGACGTATCACAGTCCTGTCTAATCCCCTATCACTACACCTATCTCCCGGCTATAAGCACAACATCGAGTCTACAGATGTCTCATGATAGAGTCAGTCAGTGTCTGCTTGTGCTGGATTCCGCTCGAGCTGATGATGCCCATCCATTCAAAGGCAGCCGACGTTTCTGCCTTGTTTGGCTACTCCGCAACAGGTGATTGCGACCCTCTCAATGTCACTGGCGGGGTGCGCCATACTGGATTTGACTCGGACTCAGCGAGAGTCGGCTGTGTGGGTCGAACATCACACGCTTGGGTGTCGCTATGGTTGGGTTGATGACACGACTGCATAATCATGTATCATGTGACCGTTGCCGAATCTAGCTTGGATGCTGGTGATCGGCGCCCTGTCCGCCAGACAGATGCTTTCACTTTACTTGTCATCAATCCTCCCTACTTTGTCATACTCTGTCAAGTAGATTGTGCACAGGCCATCCGCCCTCGTTGAAGGATCTGTACACGCGGAGCCTTCTGACGTGTCCATTGATAGAACGAGCTGTCACCAGGCCTGTAGTGGTGTATGCTGCTGATTTTCTTGTAAACAACAGATTGGCCGGGCGGACCAATCTCTGGCGCGACGACATGTTTCCCACACTTGTGTCACATTCAGCACTATTAGTTGGTGTCGCGGTTTTTCAGGTAGTCAATGAGACTTGTGGCCCAGTCAAAGTCGTTCTCGTTAGCCAATATTTGTAAAGACGCAAGGATTTTTAGCTTTGGTCGCCACAGCCCTTGGCATTCTAGTAACATTGCTTTTCGAAAAACTGACTGACGATGTGTGCTGTCGGTAGATTCAGATAGTGGTGACAGCCTGTCTGAATTGTCTCATCCAAGGCACGTGATTTTTCCACATGTTTCCTTGCTGATGAGAGACCCGGGTTCTGCACTTGAAAGGAATCTCCACCTGAAATTATAATATAAAACCAAACATTAGTATCAGACAAAAATAATTTAGTTAAAATAGGAGGGGGTAGGGTCACGTAGCGGATCGCTACAGTAATGAGGGATCGTCTAGTGTGATTCTGCTACACTATTGTACAATTATGATATATTTAGTATTATTGAATTTTAAGAAATAAACGTGTGTACACGTATGCATGCATACACACAGTCTATACAGCTTCTTTTTTTAAATTTTATTTTAATGAAAATGTTACAAAATTTAGTGAAAAATATATCGATTTTTAATTTTAAAACAAATGAAGAAAAAAAATTTGGGTCGGGCCGTATTTGGTAGGTAGGGTCGGGTTCGGAACACATCATTTTTTAGCCTATATGTATGTCATGATAAAAGTTAAAAATGTATGCGCACATGCCACAGTGCCTGCCCCGCATTATATAGTATGTATATTTCCAAAGGAGGAGGTGGGCAAAGTGACAAAATAAACTCAGCCTATTCCAGTAGGGGCGGGTGGCTGAGCATAGCAGTCTATTTGTTATAATCAATTTGTTGTTCAATACTTGTTACATACTCATTCCTGTCTTTCATTTATAGTAAATACTAATAGTATCATTTTATATGTTAATGTTATGTCATTATGATCTTCATTATAACAAGAGCGCAGAGGTCTGGCTCATCTGGGTTGTTTGCTACGTTATGACGTACAATTTCAGTGCTTGTGCGTCGTAGCTGACACATTTGTAGGCGCAGATATGCAGTACGCAGTTGGTACACATCATTGTCGTAGGACACGCATCACTATCCCCCCATGCGAATTTTGGTTTATTTTATTAAATGATATGCCTTTGACGTGTCGAATGTGTGGTCGTGATTCACAGCTATTTCTATTTTATCTATCTATAAAGATTTCACATGTGAGCTGGATTCAAGTTATAAATGCGGGGGCGGGGAGTCTTCTTCCCACCTCCCTCCCTCCTCGCCTCCCCTGCTTCGCTCCCTCCCCTCTGTGTCGCCTCCACCTCCATTCCCTTGCCACACCATCTCGCACGACCTAATTGTTGAACCCCGTTTCCCGCCTCGATACACACGCCCGTCTATCACCGTTTTCCTGGCCCCGTCTCACTTCTCCTCTCTTCTTCTTATCTATATAAAATTACCAGCGATGATGCTTTTACTGCCCTCATAATGCTATTCTTCCTATGCCCCTGAGGTGGTACAGTTCATAAATCATTATATATATAGTCTCTATATTTCTAATGATACGCTTTATGTCGCCACAACTCGGTATATGGATACCGACGCTGCATTGCCCATGTTATGGTTAAGATTCAGATGCAAGAGGTATTATCTTATATATTATATGGTACTAGTTTTATTTTATTCGCATTGAACAAGTTAATGAGATAAAGTCTATTTAACTAGCTTGTTCCCGCCGAGATGCGCGTGCAAGTTGTAGTATGATAATCAAGATGCAGCGTTCCTGGAATCTAGAGTAGTACATGTAATGCAGTAAGTATATTAGCGTTGCCTCGCTGTGAGTTAACAGTGCATTGCAGAGTGCAGGCAACACATTATGTTAGAGCCGTTGACAGCCATGGGGCTGCCTGTGTTTTTGCTCTGCGAGCATTTCACTGATTCGATCATTTAGCTTCAGCCCAGGGGCAGGGTTGCGCCTATAGACATGCTTTTAGGAAACATCATAGCTTTAAGGAAGCTTAAACCATTGTTCAACCTCATTTGCCTTGTGCAAATTTCTAAACTGTGCACTTAGGGCGCACTTGACAAGTATGCGCTCTCTAATAGCAAGCAGTTCAGTCTTTGTACGTCAACATTCAAGTTTACCCTTCTTGAGGTGTCAAAGGTTTTCACACTTACTCTTGCATGTCAGTGGAAAGCATTTTCATGGTGCCTTTCAATAAAAGTTGTTCCAATCGTCTCCGTCCCCCTGTCCTCAGAAAATGTTTCTAAATTCTGACCTGTGCCATGACCTTTTGACCTGTGACCTACAATTCGGCACCAGTGGATGGCTTTTACCTACCATTTATGTATACACCGGACTTCACGCTCATAGGTCGAGCCGTTTTAGGATTTGTTTGCGCAATTCTGCGTTTCCGCCCTATCCTTAAGTTAAGGCTACTCTCCGTTAGTGCATGAAATTTCATCGAATTTTTCTGTTTTCACTTATTCGATGAGCATCCACTATGTGCCGCCTGTGTACATGCTAATTTATCCATTTAAACGTTACATGTAACTGTACAGAGGTTTTGTGCTTACCCGTCGTACATGTGTAGTAAGCAGCGGCTGACGTTCATGATGTCGAGCGGACATGATTACACCACGATAGTAACTAACTCCAAGTATCAGTAAGCGTCAACCCTGGCGTACGCTTCATTGCATGTATTCATTACATTATGTACATCTGTAGTGATTGCTAACAAGGCATCCGCCAAATAGTTCTAAACCCGAACACACCTTGCAACACAGCGCAGTACATGCTGTGCGTTGTGACTATTAGCTTCTGTTGACGTCAGGATGACGTTGAGTTCGCGCGTTTTGCCTCGATTGTGTAACCTCGTAATTCTCAGAATGTTCTCAGGGTGCATGATGAATTTTACATTTAGTGGATGTCAGTTAGTCATGGTATGTCGCGTAAACTAAATAGATTTTTACATTGACGTTCACCCATTTTCGCACACAGCGCGGTCACTCATTGTGAAATAGAAAACGTTATTTCTCCGTTTCGATTTCTGCATGTACGATGTATAATGAATTTCTTCTGTGATTCAACTCGATTAATTTATTTTCACTTGTTTTAATGGTAACATTTGTGTGTAAAAAGTGCCCTGGTCAGGGATTGTATTAAGTGCTGCTATTTTATTAGTCTGGCTTCTTTATTCGCTAAGATTTCAATTTTTAAAACAACTGATTTTTAAGCGTTTTTTGCAGCTTTTCTCCGGTAATATAGAAAATTCAAGAAATCCTGACGCACCTATTCGTGGTTCCATATTGTGACTTAACAGTGCGCCGAAATTTTGTTCCTCAACTCTTTCTGGTAATCGAGAAATATCAAAATACATTTTGACATAATTCAAATTTGTGTGGCGTACTAATTACGGTGCTTGAATTTCTGAAATTTTTTGGCTGAGCAGAGTATATCTTCTCGTATAATACAAAAAGTGATTGATTCGATTCGATTCCGCCAATAAACGTTTAATCTTCACTAGAGCATGATACGTGCACAACGTGGACACTATCTTAGCGAGGTGAATGTCCTCTCTTTTCGTAACCTCTTGACTTTGACCTTTGCCCCAGGCTTCGACATCCACATCGCGTTTTTCGGATTACCCCCCAATTGTCCCGAATATCGTGACCGTACGTCGAGCGGTTAAGATTTGTGCCCAACTGTTGACGGACGGACGGACGGACGGACGGACAGACGGACGCTCGGACGGACGGACGATCATGCGATTCTACAAGCTGCATCTGACTATGTCAGACGAGCTAAAAATTGTATTTGACTTTTTTTTATCGAAGTTTATATATATATATACTTTGGAAAGTACTTACCGATACTGGGCTGGTATGTGACTTTGAGGTCTGGGGGGTCTGTGACTTGGGGGTCTTGTGGGTCGCACTCGGAACTTGAGGACTGGTGAATAACCCCTTCCTACGACTAGCTTTCCCATTTTTTTGGCCAACATCATGATGTAGAGCGGTGACATAATTCTTTTTAGATGCTGGTGTCAATCCTGTCTTCAAAGGCGTCAATGCCGATCTAGATCTTTTCTTGTGTGACTTGTCCGGAGTGCGTACTTGAACTTGCATGGGGCTGGGGGGTACCTGTTCATTTTGGACGTTTTCTTCGTCACACAGATTACTCAACACACCTCCCGGTACCCTCCGGGCCCTAATCGTACTCAACAGGTTAATTGCTTTATCCCTTGCCGACGCGTGCTGCTTGATAAGATTGTTACAATTTGCACAGATGAATAGAGTGTCTACATTGTTTGGTGATTGCAACGTATTTAGCAGTGATTCACGATCAGTGTTCAGCACAATCGCCAACTCATTCAATATGAATATATCAAAGCCGCCTTGAACTGAAAATATATTCCGCCTGCGCTCGTTTTTCAAATTGTACAAATTGAAATGATGATTACAATATACACAATTGTCGCCGCAAGCCATAAGGTTCGACACAATGACAATTAATCAATTTTTCCGGAATGTTCCAACTATACTCGCCCACTACACACAACCATGTACAACGCATAACGTTAGTTACTATGGTTACAAAAATACCACCAGCAACGTCATTTCCGGTTAGCCTCGTTCTGAGTTTAATCGGTAACGAGGCTTGCGAAACGCCAGGGTTCATCTCGCGTACAGGCGGTTAGTGTAGTGAAGCGGAACCGGAACCGCCTGTATCATACAGGTTAGTAGTGATCCATATATATATATATCGCTATATAAGCAGTGTATATAGCGTAGTGGCGCCATCTATCGGCGGAAAAAATCGTCTTTTATTGCTGACCATGCTCTCTATCCTTGAGCCACTATGGCCCTACCTACTGCACAAGCACTTGGAACGTCTCAATAAAAAAAAATAATGGTAAATAAACACGAAATGTATTTACTACCAAAGTCTTAACGTTTCTCTACTCGATTTCGCCTATAATCACCTGTAAATGCCAGTCAAATGCTCATCTGCAATACACAAGTACACCGCACGCCCGCCATGTGCACAAACAACATGAATGAGAGCAGGAAGGAAAGCAGGATCGAAAAATTTGTTCGTTGCTCGCTTCATTTCACACCTTCACGAATCACAGCACGAATACACATCCAACAGCTTCCATCTTGGTATCTATGTGTACA